GCATAGTTCCAAATACAGGAAGGCGCGCACACATGACGATGTAAAAACCTGAATTCGAAAGGCAAGTCAAACATTCATCACTTTAAAATCAGTTTGCGTATCTCCCACACTCCACAACATAAAGAGCAAAATTCAGATTTGCAATACCGAAGTTAAGTCAGTCAGTTCTTCCGTAAAAGCCAAATAATCAGTGCGTGATGAGAAGCTTTCTCAAAGGGCTCCTGCAGACTTCCATTAACAGCGTCCAACACCGCTGGCTCCATACTGAAGACCAGATGACCAATCGGAAAGGAGAAACCAAGAACCTACTGCTCAACAAATATCTCTGAGGAAATGTAGATCAACTGAACACACACTGAGGAGAACGTCCGGTGATATTGAGTGTCAGGAGGAGAAAACAGCCTATGGGGAATCGCTGTGCCAGTTAAAGAGGACTTTAAAGAAGCGGCTGGAGTGAAGATGTTCTGCTGAAGCCCTATGTTCCACTTGGAACTCAAGGGAAATACATACATAGCATTAAACCTTAATTAGCTTTGATGTTAACTCCGTGAACTCAGTGGTATTAACTTGCTATACAATATCTACTTACTTATTATGACTATAAAAACACTCGTCTTACTTCCCATCTGATTATAATTGATCAATAACACTCGTATTATTATTTCTGAATGCACGTTATCCCATATTTATTTTTATTCAAATATCTAGTCAATTCCACACATGTATATAAATGAAGAAAGACAGTTGTGTGAGTGACTTGACATGATTACGAGCAATAGTTTGTGCTCGAAACATGGCCATCAGTTAATATCACTGTATAACACTTTGTGATTTATCAAAATAAAATCTTATCCATACTGGAGTAATACTCTGCTCTACAGTGCCCAAGTTTTATACTTATATCAGTCTACTTGAATGTGTTGACTGCAAGCAAATAACAGTAAGCAACATTAGGCAAACTTTGAGTCAATTATGAAGACTAAAGAAAGGACAGAGGAGAGTAAACAATTCGACTTGTTATTATCAATGAATAGATTGAGGAAACTGTTGAGGACAAATAATCAGTGACTAACCTGTATGTATACTAACTAACCATTGATGTCATTTCTTCTGGACAACAGTCAGACTCAAAAGTTTTCAGTGCTCAAAACATACTTCAATATACTTGATTGAATCAACTGGTGAGGGAAACCATTTCGTATCATTTGAATCGATAAACATCATATAATCAATATATATCTAGAATATTTTATCTCTCCAAGTTGATAATAAATACTTTTTTTAAAACGCTATTTGACATTTCAAAGTAGGTGGATAAAAAAATGTTGTCGTTAAAGTGATTGCTTTCAAAGTGAAATATTCAGTGTACTGTGATCTGAAATCACACTACCTAATGATGACTGAACATATTTGTTTATATATATATATATATGATGCTTCGATAATATGTTAAGTAATAATAATTAGCATCCCTGTAGTCTTCTTATATCCCATCTGTCTAATCTGAGTGTAGACATTGCCTGCCAAATTACTAATCATTATGAAATACAAAAGCAAACTTCTTGTCTTATGCCTAATACCAGTGATTCTTCTTTTTATTTTTCTGCTAGAATTTCTTTCTTAAACTGTTCTAAAATATTTGAAAAAAATCAATGTGAATCGTTTAGAAAACAAACAAAAAAAGGGAAAGATCAATACATCCGCATACGTGTATCAGATTATTAGGTGTATCCTTAATAGAAAGAATCTTTTTTAAAATTTATATAGATTCTTCAAAGCTTTTAACTTTGATTAATTTTAGGGTGGATTGTTGAATTGATCAGCTAAAAACAACACCTGTTATTTTTATTGTTACTGTGTTGTTAATCTTTCCAGTATTAATCGAAATAAATCAATTCACCAGTAGAGAGAAAAAAGATGTCAGTGTTAGAATTTTATTAATATTATATGATATTATTGTTATTATGATTGACTGACAGTATTTGTTCAACTTTGGGACTAAGTCTGTTAATATGTTTGTGCATAAATCATTATTGAGTATTTTTTTTATTTACCGATAATTTTTATCGCATAATTGAAAGAGCGGGCTGATTTTATCTGCTGGTGGCAATGGGCCATCCTGTCATCTACCTTATCAATGCTGAAACTCCTACAAGCGGTACATAGTGTAATAATGTTAGCTATTTTTTGTTAGAATCAAGCAGAAAGATATTCTAAATGTTTACGTGCTACGTGTACTTCATGGCATGATCGTGACAATAATCATAGATACGAAAGATGAATAAATCTGGTACTAGGTTTTGAGTGAAAAGAGTCTTCAGAAAGCCGTGTGTTGACTTATCATGCGTCGGTGCCACAGCGGTTAGGTGGCTTACCGACCATGCACATGGTCCGGGGTTCAATCCCCGGCCACAGGACGCACTCCTTTACCCCGCTAAGGCAGAAATAATGCTGGTAAAGAGGAAAGATTGGGCATGAGGCTAGCAACCCCATCCTCTGGCTTGAAGCCCTCTGTTCCACTGGGAACATGACGGAAAGAAAAACAGCAGAATGAGCGTCTCACTCTAAAAAGAAATTCATTCTCCATCTCTGATTCAAATTGGTCCAATCGGGTTGCAGGATAAAGACCTGCTGAGCTATGTATTTCCTGATCTACTAATTCAAATCTGTCTTAAATATCTCGCTTAATGGTAATTTTGTACAAATGATCGAAGAAATTCTGTCAACATTTCAAAAACTAGACAGCTGTATAAATAAGCAGTAGACAAATCATTCTAACATATAATCCATCGTAATCCGATCCGCTCAATAGAAAAGTTGACGAATTTGGCAGCGGGTAGTGGGTGCCATCTTGAATCATACAATGTTAATTGTGGAGAACTGGAGGTAAGACTAGTTAAGGAATGCCGGGAAGCCTAACACCTAAGTCAATAAACGTTTCTTCCCATTTTTGAATGGATTATAATTCTCACTAGTCTGTAACAGTATTTTCTTACCTGTTTTATGGAATACATTAAATATCTAACTGCTAGATTTTGATTAACACATGTTAGTTACATTGTATCTCCAACTGTGTTGCTCACTCTTTTATACATACAAATTTCAGGCATCAACTAGAATTTGGTAACTGTCATATTTAAATTTGTGTAGGATTGGCTTGGCTTGGCTAGACTACAGACACCAACAGCTACTTAAAAATAAAGCCATACTACCAACTTCAGTAGATAATATATATTTTGAGATTCATTTATGTCCAATAGGTAAACTTAAGGTTTACAAGCAGACAAGAAAAGTCACGATATCAACAATATTTTGTTCAAATGAACAACTGAGAATGTCTGGCTATGACGCAACACAATGTCAATGTGTGAGTGTGTGGGTATTTGTATCTAATGAATCGAACTAATGTCTACAGTGTTTCAGTGACGAGATATTGAGTGTTTTCTTTTCGAAAACACCCACCTTCTAGACAGGGAGAATATAATGAAATCTACTTCTAAGTCAGGTGATGAAAAAGAGTAACAATGTGAAAAGGAGAAGAAAAGAATGAAATAGAAGAAGGTGTTTTACAGAAAGAAAAAAAACAACAAATTTCACGGTATAAATCGATACTCAAATTACAATCTTGTGCAGACTGCCTGCCACTAACGCATATTTTTCATCATCGGATATGGATACTTTTTAAGCTGTTTGGATCTATTGAAGAGTTTTCGTTTAAAACTTTACTTATCGTCTTTCTTGCCACTTTGTATCCGATGGAGACGATAGCTACCGCAGCCATATTTAAGTGGATCTATTTCTACCCGGCTCCCGGGAGACTTCAGACTCGAAACTAATTTGATGAACTACTATTATTCGCATTCACATGTTTTTGTGAGACAAATTCATACAAAAAAATGAAATCAGCTAAAGTTAAGTGTTCAGAAAAAACATTTCACATGCTGCAATTAAAGGATTCGTTGACGGAAAACTTAGTTGATGAGTGTTTATAGAAATTTCAAAAAGATATATCCCAACCATGGAGTTTTGGTGCAATTATGAATTTTCAGTAAACTGCAAAGTCAGGAGTCTTTATGTTTAGGTGGTACTGTTACAGACTAAATGAGCCCATTGAAGTTCAAATTACGAAGTAAGACGAATAGTAATCCTCTTTGCAGCTAAGATGATAGCTGGTGGATATTATCAGTTAACAAGACATAGTATGATGGAGTCAGGAATACCGAAAGAGAGAGAGAGGGAGCGGATTAACACATCTATTCAGTGTTGTCTACCTCGTGGTAAATAGTATTTGAGTAATTAGTTAAAAGTGTTTAGTGCCAGTTTTTCATATTTACAGTTTTTTCATCAACTTGTCTCCAAATCACACTATGAAACAGCGGCTAAATTCGCATTAAAAGTCTTCGTCACAAATATTATTTGGTCAGAGAATAGTCCTATGCAAAATGATACAACGAAGTTTGATAGTTCAGTATGGTGGGTATTCTGGTGTTACAAATATGGAAACATAATGCAAAAAACTTAGTGTTTTGGTTTCAAGTTACACAAGTTACCTGCATCAGCTTAAACAGTTACCGAATGGTCTACGTATCTCACTGAGATTATGCAAGGACACTAGCAGACTGGTGACAGGTAACTTTATGTGATAAATCAATCAAGTCATCTTTCATTCTATGAATGTTTGTATACCCAGTGTAATGAAAACATTGACGCACAACCAGTCTTTATTACCACATTCATGTTGTTTTTTCTATCCTATTATCTAAAAAATCATCAACTGTGTAGGAATAAGTCCACTGATCTTATCATCTCAAGCTTAACCATAAATTTATTTCTTCATGGGCAAAATATAAACAGACTTGTAAAGCAGACGATTATATAGACATTATGGACAGACGTAATCCACCAGTGTTACATATATGGTGACAAAAAAATGCAGGCTAATGATCATAATTATTACCAGTAGATTAATTTTTGCTGAAAAGCATGCATAATGTACTTACCTCGGGTCATCGCCACATCAAACGACCAAGCATTGAGATGCTGGCCGTTTTAGAGGCTGAATAGTAGATCCAAATGTTAGATGGATGTATCAGATTTGTAAGATAAATAGTTATAAGTCAACAATATATAGTTACACTGGTTGATTATTGCAAATACACTTATTATTGTCCAAAGTTATGTATGTCCATTGAGTGTTGAACATAATTTATAATTTCTTTGCTTTTTGTAATGCTAAGCACAATTTAATCGATATGGTGTTTAGCTTTAAGTATGAAGTGGTTTATGTGGATTTTTCTATTCTACTTGAATGTGTACAGTAAAAAGGCAATCTATGTTCCTGATGTCCCATCTGTCATGTTTATTGGAAGTGTAACAATTCGGCATATTTAAGAAAAGTTATGAAAATAATTGGGGAATATCAGTTTCAAAGGTGGACTGGGACTTCGCTTGCTTCGTATAGTTAGTATTATTTTTCATCACTCCAGAAGACAAAATTCGAAAACCAAAACCAGTGGAGGAAGCAATTCATTTAAACAAATGACGATTATAGATACGTGTGTGAATGCTCGTGCAACGATGTTTCAACAATACTCCGAATAGAGAATATCTAAAAGACTATATCTCCCTACTATGAATTGTATTTTAAGTGAAGTGAGTGTTTGTTTACGAGAGCTTAAATGATGAACTTGTACATTAGAAATACTTTTACAGACGTCTATTATTTTGAATAATATAGCAGCAATAATAAAAATAATAATCCTAATAATCAGGATAATTCAAACAATAAGCATCCCAATTTTGCCAATAGCCAATCTACTCAGTCTATTTTAAATGATGCTGACTGGTTTTACCATTCAACCTGTCTGTCTTTCGCTCTCCCATCCAATGACATGTCTGTATTTTCCCATAGTTATATATATATATATATATATATATATATATATATATTTACGCATTATCCTAATGTCCAGACAACTCAGTTGTAAACAATAACAGGCTAATATACACCTATTTGCTTAAATATAAGCATATGCGTATGATGTGTATGCAGCATAGAAGTAATTAAATGTAATTCTATGTTTTTGCGTGCACATGTGTATAAATATCACAGAAATGAATTAACCACATTCAGTATGCTGCTGGGCTATCTCAATAAATACAATTATATTTGAACTAGAATTCAGACAGAATCATCCCAATGTAGTTGAACAGACTAGTAAGATGTGGGAAACCACTAATTGTAGAAATGTGATTGCCAGACCACGTGAATGCATTACATGCAAATAAAGCAATGTATTGTGAAATAACTGTCACAATTTTAGCATAGAAAAATAAACATTTGTAAGTATAGGATGATAAAGTTTGATTCCATCTTGTTTGTCAGATTCTCATTTTAGTTTTCTTTATATGATCATTAAATTTCGTTTGAGATTCATCAAAAATAAACCAGTGATGAAAAGAAACAATTCTAACAGTCAGTTCTAAGCTCAGAGCTTTAATTAAACTAAGTTTCATACATGCTGACAAACAACAGCAAGCGGCAATCAAAGTTTTCAGGTATTCACATTAGTGAAGTCAGCGGATTTACTACTAAGTCGTTAAAGTGATTCATTTTTTTCCTTCAGGTTCCCAGTGGAACGTAGAGCCTCAAGCTAGTGGCTTGAAGTTTCTGTAGCAGTGGGGATTATTTTCACAGGATGGGGTTGCCAGCCTCATGTCCAACCTTTTCTCTTTACCAGTATTATTTCTGGCTTAGTGAGGTAAAGAAGTGCGTCGGCCGGGGATCGATCCCCGGACCATGCGTATGGTCGGCGGACGTTCTAACTTCTGTGCCATCGACGCACTGTTAAAGTGTTAAGTAACCCATTTAGGATCCTTTGGTATAAATGGATCAATTGTTGGGGGCTAGTCAATAAGACATATTGTAAAGAGCTGTTTTATTGTACATTATGCCGTCATACTTATACATTTCTCCGCAAATTATCAAAGCGAGGTTTCCGATTTCAGCGCTCATTTGTGAGTATACCACGATTGTATGATCTAGTATATATATATATATATTCCGGACTGTTAAAAGAAAAAATCTGGTACAATCTCTGAAAGTGAATACTAAAGTTTCTTCTTTGATTTTCGATGAGATAGTTGTACAATAAAAATTGATTTTAGTGCTAAAATGAAGCGCGAAATAACCTCGATTCATGGCTAGAAAGAAAGCGCTGCAGTCAGTTCTCAGGTGAAGTATTGGATATGATATTCACCAGTATCTCATAGCTATTTCAGTCACTGAGTATAAATCCAATGACATTTTTATTATAACTTTCATTGCTGCATGATATAAGTTATAATAAAAAAATTTTCTTCGCAGAATTATGTTTTAGTTTCTTCATGATTCAGTGGTCATTTTCAGGCTTCTGCAAAAGTTCTATCCGTGGCTCCTGACGGACTCTTGAGTGTTCATCGTCTAAGGGTCTGACAAATTCGAGACACCTGTTTAGTGCTCTATTTTTTCAGCGTGAAATCTACCCTGAATTCAGATAAATACCCTCAAACTTCTGAGTGTAAGAGAGCTTACCAGGCAAAGTATTAATGGGAAGAATCTGTTTCTTCTTAGATTCCCAGTTTATTCATGAGCCTTTTTTTCAATCTAATTTTTTCACTATTAAGTACAACCAGTCATACAGATTGGTGGAGATAACAGAAGCCTTTTTAGAATTCGATTTGCCATTTGCAAATTACACCGCTGGTTGGGAAAATCCACCACTGTCTCCTTTGGAAACCCAGAATATTTAAATAAGAGTATATGAACAACTTGTAGCATAAATGCCAGTGAAAAAAGCAAACCTAATTACATACTGTTGAATACTACAGATCCATATGAATAGTTCGAGGCCACTCATGTCACTCATAATATCGCTGACGAGCTCAGTCTCAAAGAGTGAAGTGGCCGTCTGGTTTTCAGACCTCTTTAAGCTGATATAGGTATAAAACTTGGGCACTGTAGTAGAGTAACTCTTTAAGCTGGCTAACCCGCAGTACTAATTGACGTGACTAACTTCCAGCTGCACGTATAACACCATGAGAAAACGTTTTAATTCAGTTTGATGACGATGAGTATACTCAGGCGGCTTACAGAATAGACGTGAATAACTGTGTACATTATAGGCATTCCAAGCTTAAATTTCTGTTCAAGTAATGGTTTTTTAGGGAATTCGTTTGATTCTTTAAAGGATTTCATCATGAGGATTTCATGAAATCAGTTAGAGAACCACTGGAAAACCTAAGAGTACCGGACATCTGTTTCGTCCTTGTATGGAACTTTTCATCAGTACGCAACCACCGGGATTTGAACACAGGACCTTCTGGTTACAAGGCGAGCTTTTAATGATCGTGGTGTTACGTAAATTGGCAGAAGTTGAAATTCATGGACCACTGAATCAGGTCCCAGTTGCTGAATGGACTACAAGCTCGCCTTGTAGTCAAAAGGTCCTGAGTTCTAACCCCGGGGGGTGCGTACGGTGAAGAGTCCAAAACCAAGACGAAACGGCTATCCAGTACTCCTATGTTTCCCAGTGGTTCTCTAACTGATATCAGCTCATGATGAAATCCTTCATCCTGTTCAAGTTATTGATGAGCATTCTACTGTGACACTGAAAAGACTGGTTTCCGTGCGCATGTGTGTGTCTGTGAATGTCAGTCAAGTGTTTTCAGGATATGAATTTAGACTTTTGCTGATTCAAAACAAGAGAAAAGATACTGACACTGTCATTGACTCTTGCTGTGACCACTTTTAGTCGCTTTAGATTTATATATTCCTTGTCCCTATTTCTGCTAATTCTATTGCCCTTTTAATTAGCATTTCACTCATTGAAGAAAATTTCGTCGGTCGTCTTGATGGCTAAATGTCTAATTGTGTTGACCGCCCGAATGCGGTGATATTTCAGCGACATATCAACTTCCGATTGTTGAAGAATCTCTATATGCTTAACCGCCCTAGTCTTTCAGATGTCGGTGAGTAGCTAATGAAATGAACTGAACTTTTATGTTTATTATGTATACGATGTAATGGAGGGATATTTTTCACTGGTATGAATTTGTATTTGCTTGAAGTAATGCTGATAAACTGCTAAGTCTATTTTCTCCTGGACATACTGTTAACAATGAATTTCACTACCTTACAATAGGCTGACGAATTCAGTGATAGATAATTAAGCACCTGAGTCTCATAAGTGACTAGATGAAATATCGGATTTGCAAACTGTGGACTACTATCTTTAATTCTATTTTAATTCCAGTGGTCGTATGGTTTCATCAGTATTAGTCTACTAGACTTCAGACGTCTCCCATATTATCAGAATGAAGTGTTCATTCATACCTCTTGACTCCTGCTAGTCACATCTGCTGTGTAGTATTGTAACAACAGAAGACAAGGGCCAGGCAACAGATAGTTTATTAAGGAAATCAACACATATTTATATATTTTCATGTACATTATTATAGCTGATACAAGTAAACAAACACAGCCCTCTGATTGGTTGTTTCTCACTGAAAGTTAACCTTACATCTCTTTTTGGTTGTTTCTTGAATGTCAGATCATCTATATGTTAACTGTATCCACCAATGCAAAGTCTGCTCTGGTTGGTTGTTGAATCAGTCTTTGTTCATATTTTCTCACGACCAACATTTGGGACATAAACATTGACGTAAATTAATGTCTGCCAATTTGGCTAGCAGCCTGCTCTCACAACAGTATTACTATTATTTGTCACTTGAGTTCCTAGTGGAACATAGGGCTTCAACAGTACATTGCCATTTCACTCTATTCTCCACAGTCTCTTACAAATACCTCCCAGACTACTCACAAACTTTCGTTTCCCTTTCACATGATCTTCTCAGCGTCGCCCTCGGCTGCCCGACCCATCGTTTGCCTTTGAGGTTACTCTGCAGGGCTTAGAGCGTAATGTCACTCAACAGTTTTTTTCTGAGTGAACGTCAAACCCATCTCCATTTGTTTCTGCTTACCTTCTAGCCAATCGGTTCTTGGCTGTTTTGTTGTTGTTGTTGTTATTTTGCCAGTATTCACTGTTGCTCATCCTTACAGTACAGACTATATCTCTAATATTGACGTCATTTTCTGTTGCCTTTTACTCAAGTATTATGTTGACTAGCAATCTTCAATGAGCTGTAAATTCGTTATTTGATTTATAATTTATGACAGAAATTAACAACCAGTCATGAGACTGTTGTGAAGTCAATTGTGATGAATGCTTTCGACGGATCAGATAATTTTTTCGCCATGTATAATTGGCAAAGCGAAATAGATAGGATAAGACTCACTGTCAAATAACTAATTGTTCAGGAAATATCCTAATACACTTATGATGGACAGTATTTAAGTAATATAATGCTTTGAGAAAGCTGCTTATCACTATTAAACAGGAAGTGAAATCACTCTGTTTTCCTTTCTCACACACATATTGGTGACTAAATCCATAAATAAATGAATAGAAATTTTATCAAGCTAATGTGTATATATGCATTTTCACGAACACACAAATACACACACGCACGCACACACACACGCGAGCGCAATCATCAGCTTTTCAAAGATATGTTCATAAACAAACAGATAAACAAATAAAGATGGAGATTAAATCTTTGCAGTCCAAAAATTAGATTTCAGACATATGAATGCCTGTTCCCCTCTTTATTTTCTAGAATGTATCCAGCTCTTGATCGTCTGTTTATGTATATGTATGTGTAAGTAATGCCTCTAACCTGAAATGTATGCATGCCTGCGCGCATGCAAGTGTAAGTGTCC